ATTATTTAAAATTATAAAAAACAAAAGAAAACTATTAAAATATAAATTGGCGTTATATCTTTGTGGCACTACCACATTACAATCGACTATTGTCCAGGATGCTCCTTTCCTTGTTCTAGTGGACCAACAGAGTACATTTACTAGGGCTAGGAGTTTATGGATGAGGGTAGTTATATTATAACAATAATAGAAATATTAGAATGAGCCTCCTTCTAGCTACTAGTTGCATCTCTTAAATTATATTAAAAATTATTATTTACAAAAGTATTTATTTTATTAGGAGAGAAGTGAAGACTTTTGGGAGCGTATTGTAAACAATAATTTCACAGATCAAGATTGGCTAGAAAATGTTCGTATGTCAAAATCAACATTTGATTATATATGTACCCAACTATTTTTTGAATTATCACCTAATCCACTCGCAGTTAGACCATCACTATCTGTTGAGAAAAAGATGGTAATTGTGATTTTCAAACATACAAGTTGCTCAGAGTATCGAGTAGTAGGTAACCTTTTCGGAGTGCATAAAAGTACCGTTCATAATTGTGTTTACCAAGTTTGTAAAGCCATAAATACATTTTTGAAACCATTGTAAATAACCATGCCTACAATTGAAGAAGCTAAACTTATAGCACAATCTATAAAACAAAAAACTGGAATGGAACAAATTACTGGTGCTATTGATGAGACTCATGCTCCCATATTGCCACCGATAGTTGGTTATAGAGATTTTGTAAATAGAAAAGGTTGGCCATCAATGGTATTGTAGGGTTTTGTTGATCATCATTAACTATTTCGTAATATCACAATTAAGCATCCAGCAAGTGTACACTATGCCACTGTTTTAAAAGATTTAAGTTTATATAAAAATAACAACAAATTAATTCCAAAGCACAATATACATATCACTAATACAGAAATACCTTTAATGATAGCTGGTGATCCTGCATACCCTCTTCTACCTTGGCTTATAAAAGCGTATACTGGAAGTCTAACACCGGAACAAGAATCCTTTAACACCTACCTTTTTTCAGCTAAAATATGTATTGAAAATGCCTTTGGTCGCTTTAAGGGACGTTGGAGATGCTTATTAAAACGATGCGATGTAAATTATAAATTTATGCCACAGGTTATCTGAGCATTTTGTGTGTTACATAATATTGTTGAAAAAGCCAAGGACCACTACTATGCATCATGGACGAATGACGTAAGTGAAGGAAGTGCATTTTTTGCACTACCCAATAAACGTGAAGTGTCATAGTCAACAGCAGATACAAATGCAAAAGAAATAAAGGAAATTCTTAAAGTGCATATGGCAACAAATAATCTACTAAGAAAATCAACTTTTAGAAATATTTAATTTTAATTTAAACAGTTGTTGTTGTAGTAATGTAGGGTGGCCATAAAAATAAAATAAAAATACGGGACATTTCAAAAAACAAAATAATCTGATGAATAATTTTTTAAATATATAGTAGATACATGAAAACAATTTTATTTTGATATTAATGGTGAACTAGTTAAAAATTAAGATTATACATGTATTATATAAATTACCTAACTAAATATAATAATATAAAAAAAACAAATTTAAATTTAATGTGTACTGTATCATGTTTTTTATATATAAATAAAATGTGGTTGGTAAATATTCGTACGTAAACAAAAACACGAAAATATTTATTTTGATGACGATGGTTGGTCTTCTTCTGCTATTTTTGTACACTTTTGTGCTGAACTAATTGCATCAAGTAATTTATTTTCTTTCAATAAAATATTATAAAAATCATTGCAAGAATAGTTTGAAAACTGTGTTTTCACTATGATAATTGATTTTATAGTTTCAACTAAAAAACGATTTTTTTCGTCCGTCCTTAAGACATTAATGGTAGAAAAAATCCTTTCTACTGCAGAATTTGTACCCGGCATTGCTAAAGCATATTCTACAATTGGTGATATGTTAGTTGTGTCAATGTTATGAGCTTTAGTGTACTCAAATATTTCACACCACTTAACTTCCAATTTAGCTGAACTTTTTTGCCATTAATTTATTCGTGATTGAAAAACTTGTTCAATATGACTGAAATCGTCAAACAAATTATCTTCGTCCAGTTTTAGGTTTGAATTATTTTGGTTTTTTTCTATAAGAAATTTTATACATTTTTGAACATTTTCCCAAGTAGGGCAATTTATTAATTGAACCCAACAAAATACTTTTAACTCGTCAAAATGGCAACCCCATTTTTCTATGTAAGATAAAAAAGTATTATAAAATAGATCAGTACTTTTTTTGAATGAGTTTTGATCATACATATTATTGTTTTTCAAATCATTTAAAATCGATAAAATATTTGATGTAAGAAAATTTTGATTTTTTCTATTTATTATTTTTCCAACCAAAATCTCTAATTCCTCTGCAACTTCACATGCTGATATTTTATCTCCTTCTATTTTTGTCACAGTATCACAGACAACTTTTAATTGGCTTTGCAAAAAATAAAACCATACTTTAGACATAGGATCATTAAAAAAAGATTTTAAAATGGTTGGACACTTTCCTGTTTTTCGAAGTATAATTTTAAACCTTGGTAAATATCAATAATTCTTGTTATGGACGGTAATAAAGATAGCCAACGAGTTCTTACACTTCCAAGTATATTTTTATATTCGACATTTGCATATTCGCAAAACTCTTTCAAATGTTCAACTCGAACTGTAAAGATATGAAAAAATTGAAAAATTTTGTTCACTTTAATTTCTACATCAATAGGTAACACATCAGCACTTGATTTAATTGCATTATGCAAAATATGAGCAGCGCAACCTATCCCATTAATATTCGTTTTTAAATTATTATTTAAGATTGAAAAAACATTTTTTTTTCCTTTTCGTAAAATACCTCCAAAGTTAGTATTGCAATTGTCACCAGAAAATGCAATAATTTTATCCAATAACTTGTATTTTTTCAAACTTTCAATTATGTAATTTGATAAAATATCTGCTGTTTATCCTTTTAAATTTGTCACTTCAAAAACTTTAATTTGTACTCCCAGATTTGGATTAAAATAACGTATTAAAATATGTACGATTTTCAGATTTTTATGGTTAGAAGTATCTATCATGATAGTAGCAAAATTTATATTTTCTAATTCCTTACAAATCTGTTGCATGGCGAAAGGAGCTAGCACATTTAAAACAATCGATTCAGCCTTAGTTCGAGCACAAGTGAATTTTTTATTATAAATTTGTTTTAAAAGAGATGATGTGCAATCCATCGATCGAAATGAGTGATTGTGTACAACTGTATGAAATGCGAATATCCCTCCTTGTGCCGCGGTACGTCTACTTTCGTCAGTAGATCCACTCGGATTATTCTTTAAAAAAAAAGAAGTTACCTTTTCATTTTTTGATGCAGCTGATAGCGCCAATATATGTTTTTTCGCTTTTGTGGTATGTTGTTTTATATCTGAAAGTCCACCATGTTTTATAGAAAATACCGATTTACATATTGTACAAAACACTTTTCCAACTTCATCAGCATCTTTTAAAAAAGGAAATTCGGATTTTAAATTTGGAGCAAAAACACACCTCCTTTTCGGCATTGTGAGAAAAAAATAAACAAACTGTGTATTTTAAATGACACCACTACGACTGAACACTATTACTACGACGGACAAAATGTAGACTGAATGAGTACAAATATTATAACAAATAACATTTACAATGATACATAGATCTAATAATATTGTAGATAACGAACTGGCCGCGACCAGTGAGATTGTTCAAATAATAATCCAATGATATCAAAATATACGAAAATATAACACTATTATGGTATTATGACATTATATACGTTTTATATCACCGACAACAATGTGACGCAACAATTGTAATCAAAATAAGAATCTAAAAATACCTACCACTGAAAAATAATAGATTTTAATATTCTATATTGAATAATGTTGTACAAAAATATCGTAAACAAAACGATTTTATAGTAAAATAAATTTCAGAAATTATAAATTAACGGTATGGAAAAAACGGCATTAATACGGGACGGACTTGGAAAAACGGGACAAAATGCGTCCCGTATTACTTTTGTCGGGACAACGGGACACAAAGTTGAAATACGGGACGTATGGTCACCCTATGTTAATAGATAGTTTTTTATTTGTATTTTTCTAAATTTATTTTATTTAGTTATTTGAGAATAGGTAAATATACATGTTTACCATTTTTATGTTAATAATAAATAAATTCAAGTTGTGTTTGCAATTATGATTTTTTTTTTTTTTTTGGTCGCCAAAAGTTAAATTTAAAATATTAGGGTCACGCTCATAAAAGGTTGGGAACCGCTGCTTTAAATGGTTGCCATGGTATCCGTGTTCAGTTGATATATAATACGGAATTTCTATAAGAACCATTTTGAATTTCGTTATTCAAATTTGTGTTATTCAGCTTCTGCTAATTCTGTAGAACACATTCAAAGATTGATTAATCGTCTGGATATTTCTTTTTGCTACTCAATTTCCCAAAAGTTGACTCGGTAAGAACCAAGATGACATTATTAGTATTGTTTATTTGATGTTTAAAGTAAAAAATGATCAACTTAGTATAAAATTAATTACTAATGATTATGTTATTGATGTTGTATCAGTCAGGACGCTTAATAATGTAAATGTTTTGAAGTTTATGGGGTAAATTAATAATTTCTTCTGTGACTAAATGTATGTTAAAAAACAACTTTTAAATTATTACCCATAGATTAATACTGATTTATTAAAATAATTTAACCCACCAGAAAAACAAGGACCTACATTTTAATTTTACACCTAAATAATATAGCAGCAAAGGCTTCAAAACATTCATTTTCTTTTAACTATAAAATATAGTTAAATATATAAGTATTATAAGTTAATAAAGATTAATTTTTTTTTACACATTAAACAAATATAATACAAACTTTCCTATATGTTTTTTCAGTTATTTTAGTTGTAAAAATGGTTTTGATTCATGTTAAGCATGGTGATGAAAGTCAGTTTTTATATGATGCATCTTTAGAAACTCTTGTTGATGATTGTACTTTAAATATTACAACAATTTATAATGGACGTTTAAAGATATCCAGAATATGTAGTGGTATGTAATTATTCGTTATTTTACTTAACGATTAAATTATATAAATTATGAAACTTTTTTGGTGTTTATTTTCATCAAGAACTTGAAGAGCTTAAAAAACATGGCACACTATTACCATCAGAAATAATGGGTTTAACCGATGAACAAGTTTCTGAACTCAAGTTAGTTGATACCTGGGGTGAAAAATGTATACCAAGTGGTGGCTTTACATACAATAAAGATCCAATAGGACGTAGAAATGGTAAACAGCCTAATGAGCAAATGCAAAATTTGTTGACAAAAACAATCGAAGATGCTAAGGCTTGTGTTTCTAAGGTAAAATACTTATAAAATTAACTAAAAATCATAATTTTGTATATTATTTATAATGATATCCTATTGTGCCATAGAAGTTGGTTCAGTCACAAATAACTTTAACTCAGAAAAAGATTCAAGAAGCGTTGGATATGCTTAGAGGGGTTGTCATGATAATTTATCCGATGAATCTTCCACCTCATGATAATATTAGACTTGAGTTGGAAAACAATGAAGATCTGACTGGAACGCATGCGTCTCTAGAGGTTAGTAAAGCTACAAAAAGCTTAAATTATAAAATTAGTTAATGCTTTGATCACTAAAAATAAGAGTTTCAATAACACTACAAGTAATTGCTAATAAATATTAATATGTGGGCAAATATATTTGGTACATTTTACATTAATATTTAACTTTCTGATTTTATTTAATGGCTTGATATATCTTAATTTATTGTTTATTTATTTTAAATAGCTTAAATAATGGTGTAGCTACAGTCAAAATCATCCAGGTGTAAATTATTTTCTAGCGCATTATGTATATTGTATACATATACATATTATAGGTATAATATTTGTACTAAGTAGCACAAAAGCGTTCGAATATAGTATGTGCCACAAGGGTAACTGCCATTAATAGTAGCAAAGCCACTATTAATCCTAGATGATAATATAAAGTATTATATAATTATATACTAATGTCTGTTCTCACTAGTAGTTCATTTTAAATATTAAGTTTAGTCTAACTGTACTAAAATTATAAGCTTAAATGTCAAAATGGTCATAAAGGATATTAATAAAAGATATTATATTTTTGTTAGGTAATCGAACCTAGTGCAGCTCAGCTTTGGTTTTCTGGTCGTGAGTTATTACGAGATTCTGATAAAAAGATGAGAGATTTTTTGGGCCGTAATGAAAAAACAAAAATTGTATTGAAGTTGACAAAGACTGGATCAGGGCCACCAGCTCGGGAACCGCCGTTAAGTGAACAAGACAGAAAATTGTTAATGGCCCATGCGTATAAAAAACAAGAAGAGTTAAAGGTAAGGTAGTTTTGTAAATGTTGACACTGTTTATACGCATAGATCTATTGATAATGATTGTTTTATTATCATAAAATGTTCTTTATATTAATATTTTATGAGTAGGGTAAATACTTAACATGTATTAATAAAGTAAGTATTTTTTGTGATACAAAGTCATCATTAGTAACAGTGGTGCGCTATGATTTTATATAAATCTATACATACAAAAAATATATGTAGTCTATAATTGCACGGATAGTAATGTAACGTGTCTGCTTGGCTAGTTGGCTAGGCTAGGCTGAAACGACAGTCGATAGGGTTAAATTAGTGGACCCGAAGACGGGACGGATGGCTAGGCCGTATCTACACTTAAATATCCCTAAAGTCTCCTTTGTATATTTGCTATATCGCCTGAGGAGCTTAACAGGCGGTCGTACCTCTAAATAACTTAACTCTCAAGTGTGCAACGAAACGAAAACAGGTTTATTAAATAAGTAAAGCTATGTACATATATATTACACCTCTACCTGGATCCTAAAGCGTTCTCTGTAGTTAGTCCAGGTAATGGCGGAGTTGAACGGACACACGAGTACGGGTAAAGTTAAAAGAAATATAAAATAGTAATGTAACGTGAAATAATAGGTAATGGCTTTAGAATAATTAGGTCGCGGTCCGAAGATGGTAGTATGTCAACTAACTGGGCATCGGTGCCCCTGGCATTGTCCCGTGTGTCTGTTGTCTCCCCTACCTATAATGGCTTACATGCTAATCGGGGTAAACTGCTAATAATGCATATTTGGAGGCGAGTGGTAACGGGCGGCTAAATGTGACCGTTACAGCTGCTCCTCCCCTAATGAGGTCTGACCTCAGACCTAAGTTATACAAATAAAAATGGGTACTAAGAAAAATAAATAAGATATGTACAAATACCCTGAAAATAAAGGTTCCTATAGGTTGGTTTAAATTAATTATGATTTAAAGGAGGGCCACCTGTACTCTTATTTTGACCTTTGGTTAATTTCGACGATCATCCATCCCTTAACTTGTCGTTTTTATTGAAAACTTGAAAGGCCATCGCTCGACGAAAACATCCAACCTAGCTTCTCGCCTTTCTTGAAAAGACTTGTAGGTCAACCCTCTATAAAATGAATAGTGGTGTTCTCAAGGTCTTAATAAGCTACTAGTGGTTGTCATATTCTATTCCACATAAAAAGGTAATATGGGAAAAGCATGGGCTACATTGTATTGTTATTGTTTAAAATATTAGGTTGGCTAAGCTACGCATACAAGAAAACTCAAAACAACTATAAAAGAAAAATTCATTGTCTGTTTATCTCACAATATATATGTGTAATTACGTTAATCCTAATAATAATGATGAAAAACGTTGCTAAAAATAATTTATCATATACATTCATTATCTTAAGTTAAGTTGATACCTCTGCGTGCTTAAAAAAAACTACTTCATTTAAATTATACAAAATAAAATAATAATAATCGTAAAATAAAATAAATTTCATTAAGTGTTTATAAAAGAAACAGAAAAGAAGACTAACAGAGAAACGCTTAGTAGTCGAAAAAATATCGGACCCAGGGTAATTTACGCGGTTTTTTTTTTCTTCTAAAATGTATACAAACATTACAAATACGATACAAAAAAAATTACAAAAAATATTTTGACGTCGGCTAATCTTGCGCCTTTGGCGTATCGTATGTCTAGGAAATGATTTATTTTAACTATAACAATCGGTCAATATATATGTATATAATAAAAATATGTAAAACAAAGGCATTATTAACAAACAGGTTGTCTTTAAAAAGACAGTTTTAAAAGTTGACCACCGTTCAACTCCGCCATTACCTGGACTAACTACAGAGAACGCTTTAGGATCCAGGTAGAGGTGTAATATATATGTACATAGCTTTACTTATTTAATAAACCTGTTTTCGTTTCGTTGCACACTTGAGAGTTAAGTTATTTAGAGGTACGATCGCCTGTTAAGCTCCTCAGGCGATATAGTAAGTATACAAAGGAGACTTTAGGGATATTTAAGTGTAGATACGGCCTAGCCATCCGTCCCGTCTTCGGGTCCACTAATTTAACCCTATCGACTGTCGTTTCAGCCTAGCCTAGCCAACTAGCCAAGCAGACACGTTACAATTTGGATAAATAATTTTATATAGCCCCTAAATACACATTGCTTTGGAAAATTAACATTTAAATAAGAATTGAATCAATTATGTGGTCAGACATTTTGGGTTTGATAATACAAGCAACTCGGACGTCATTTAACGTAAGTACCCTTTAAAATTGTAAGTGTTCTCATAAGAAAAATAAAATATTTTTATTAAAATAAAAAATAAATAAACGAAACTATTTCAAAATAATTTCATATAGTTACGAAAATCAGCATGCGCAAAATTATGCACATAAAAATAAAATCGCCGTAAAAAGAAAATATTGGTTGCATCTGCACACCTTGTGTCAATAAAATAAATTCGTTAAAATCCGATTTAATGTGAACATAGTCAAAAACAGTTAATCGAAAACGAAACGCCGTGTAAAATATCAGTCATTATTTCATTAACTAATCCGAAATTATTTTATAAAGCCGAAAAATTAATACGCCGCATAATGTTATGACAACTCGTGATCTGACATAATAGTCGTCCATTGGTTGATAAAAATAATAAAATATTATTCAACAAGTAAAATAAGTCAATCTGAGATCGTCAGAGACAGTGCCGTGTAAAAAACATGTCAACGGTAAAACCGGACGGTCACCGGGGGTTAGCCGGGAAAATATTTGCCAAATAATAATATAACAGTCAATCTGAACAAACGCAGAGACAAACAGCCGTATAAATAAAATATAAAAACTCAACGGTAACCAACCGGAAATATGTATTTATTCACTACCAAAATCGCTGATGACATTCGCGTATTAACAACCAAAATATTTAAAATTCAAAAATTCGATCCGGACGTATAAAATAAAGGTTAGCTACTCCTTTCTCTTAAACTACCCATATGATCGACATTCGAAATTCAAAGATATGTGTTATATGGTGTGGTAAAAATGTTGGTCTCCAGACCAACGGCAAAATAAATCAATAAAATATTGAACTTTGCGGTTAAAATGCGGCACTTAGGCGGCAATATCGGCAACAATAGGTATGCGGCGATCTATGGCCATGGCAAAAACGGCAATTAAACGGCAAATAAAAATATACAAAATCAAATTCAAATTGATTATCTTAAAAGCGGCAACGTGCGGCCGAATATGATCGCCTCCTTGGCTGCGGGCGGCAACGTGCGACTAAAGATGAAACAAACGGCAAATAGGTACTATTTAGTACGCGTCGGCAAAAACGATGATGTAAATAAAATCGGCAAATAATTCGGTAGTATTGATGACTTAGCAATAGGCGTACGGCAGAAGTAGTAAGTGAATATTAAATTCTAATATAGTTGGAAAAAAAATTGACCTAGTTCATATTATCCTAGGCTGACAAATAGGGGTCGCGACTAAAATGGACCATAAAATGACCTACTTCTGGAAATTACAGTAATACATAAATGACGTTCCGATCCTAATTGCTTATTTATACTTACGGGGCAAAATATAAAGATAATTATTTTTACACGTTTGCATAATTGCACGGCACAGACCGATAATATTTACTCTTTTATATTTTGATAATATAATTTACTTTGTCTTGAGGGAAAAAAAAATCACTTATTTATTTAATATTATGAAAAATAATATTAAAACCTTCTAACTAATATTACAATAAAAATTGGCCTAGAAATTACAACGTCAGCAAAACATTGCGATCACTGGCACATACGGGTGTGTGCGTGTATATGTGTATATATCGTCTCGGGTACCGTCTGAGATTGTACATGTTACATTATTGTTCTCCGTTAAAATCATGATCATCACTTTTAAATACGTTGTTTTAAATTTCTGTTCTAACGGTCAAGGAATCGTATTATAATATTTTATAACCGTGTCAAATTCAAATAATAATATGAAGTGCGAGTCGGGGATTGGTGTCCAAGGATTGTCAGAAAATAAGACTCGGACATGTCCATGATTCATTTCTGACAACGCAATAACAGAAAAAGGCATTGCCTTACAATCGAACGTTTATAATTACGGGATAGCAGTTAGTTTGAAATTATAAAACCTGCAACGGCAGTTGTCTGCCTCCAAGGAAATATGTGTTTTTTTTTTTTTTTTTGCTAGATGTATTCCTAGTAATCACACCGTGAGAAATGTGAATTACAATTTATATTTATATTTTTAAAGACGCTACCTAACAGAAGTAAATAATTTATATATTCGCGCATAATATAATTATATGTATGATTCCCCCAAAAAAAAAACAAAAAATTATATTTTTACAAAAGAAAAATAGAAATTTATTTTTCCTTTTCCTTATACTGCCTCTTGGAATTTCCATCAAGAGACAGAGGAAAACAGAGGAATTAAAGTTTAGACATATCCTCTGTATTATAAAATTCCAAAAAGGATTTCTTTAAAGTTTCCCACGTTAAAGTTATATTTTCAACCTCGATAAATTGAAATAATTTTTTGGCTTGGTCTCTTAAATATAATGGAAACATAATTGTCTTTTTTTTTGTCATCCCAGTTGTTTGCGGCAGAAATTTTCTCAAAAGTATAAAAGTAATCTACAACATCTTCAGTTATATGCCCCGAAAATATTTGGGGTTCGCATATGTTATGACCAGCCATAATGATTAATTTTCTTGTATTAAAAAATAATTACAATCGATTTTTATATTTGAATTTAGAATTTAAATGCAATTTGATACTTAATAAAAAAAAAAAATGTACTTTACTACAACCTGAGAGTTAAATCAAAAAATTAGCAGGTACAATTATATGGGGTCGTGTCCGTCGTCTATTCCCTTAAAAATGTTAGGGTCCCTCCCTGAGGTAAAACTAACGAAAATCGGCGCCTCCACCAAATTGTAACGTGTCTGCTTGGCTAGTTGGCTAGGCTAGGCTGAAACGACAGTCGATAGGGTTAAATTAGTGGACCCGAAGACGGGACGGATGGCTAGGCCGTATCTACACTTAAATATCCCTAAAGTCTCCTTTGTATATTTGCTATATCGCCTGAGGAGCTTAACAGGCGGTCGTACCTCTAAATAACTTAACTCTCAAGTGTGCAACGAAACGAAAACAGGTTTATTAAATAAGTAAAGCTATGTACATATATATTACACCTCTACCTGGATCCTAAAGCGTTCTCTGTAGTTAGTCCAGGTAATGGCGGAGTTGAACGGACACACGAGTACGGGTAAAGTTAAAAGAAATATAAAATAGTAATGTAACGTGAAATAATAGGTAATGGCTTTAGAATAATTAGGTCGCGGTCCGAAGATGGTAGTATGTCAACTAACTGGGCATCGGTGCCCCTGGCATTGTCCCGTGTGTCTGTTGTCTCCCCTACCTATAATGGCTTACATGCTAATCGGGGTAAACTGCTAATAATGCATATTTGGAGGCGAGTGGTAACGGGCGGCTAAATGTGACCGTTACAGTAATTTTGAGAAAATATTATAATTAAAATTGTTTGCCTAACAAACGCGTGATTGTGTTTTTTTTTTGTTTCAGAAACTTAACCAAGACGATGACGACGTGTATCTCAACTCTTCCTGGGCCGACGGCGGAAGTTTGAAAAGAAGTCTACATCAAGTTGGTGACATTTCCTGGAGGCCTAAATAATCCATTCGGGTTTTTCTCTTTTGTTTTCACTTATTTTGTGAATTTTTTTGTTTTCATTACATTGTTCGACAATTCACTAAAGCTAATTGTGTTTTCCGCTGCAGTAGGTAATAAAATGCCGATTCTGGGAAGAATGGAATGCGTTGACGTCACAAAGTTCGGTACATCCAATGACGTCACTGCATTCCATTCTTCCCAGAATTGGCATGCATTTTTTATCCTAGGTCAGTGATGTCCCCCTACCCCCCTGATGATGTAGCTTTCCTAGGTAAGTATCGTGTCCCTCCCCTCGCCCCTCGGCGTACCCCAAAACTTACAAGCGTACGGACATACGTAAGATAAGTAATAGTTGTTGTTGATGTTAAACATTAGTTGTGTGTGAGTAGTGCTTCAAGATGGATTTGCTGCAAAAAATTGATAAAGAACTCGAGGTATTATTTATTACTTATCCGGTACAGGATACGATTAGAAGAGTGTCGAAGATGTCTACAAATAATTCTATTATCGACAACTTGGCTCAGCAATGTGGAAAATCATCAAATAACGATGGACATCGTTCCGGAAAACAATCCGTTTTATCTAGTCAGATTCAAGCTAAAGATTTTTAAGGGGAAACTCAGTTTTAAAGTCTCTAATGACGGCCTGTGGCACTCAGTTTTGTCTCAGCATCTTTATGGCACGGAATTGATGAATTACATTTCCTTCATTGTATAAATATTTAATAAATTCATCATTGAAAGTGTTTACAGCGTCCGTTGCAGGAACAGTTATTGTCTTTCACAGTGTGTTTAACAGATCGAGAAGTATGGTTTTTGTCTTTAAACATTTCACTTTTTATTTGACACTTGAAGTAGGTGACGGTAGTCTCTTCCTCAAATAAATGATATGAAATTAAAAAATTCTTGCAATTACCACACATTATTTGTAAACAGGCTACATTATCAACTTGGCAACAAATATGACGGGCGAATTCTTTTGGGTTAGCATTTTCAATGATGTTGGCTTTAAATAACGCTGAAACCAGAAACTCAATGTTGGCATGAACTTTGCACAAGTCTTTGTCCCTTTCAGAAACTTTTGTTTAACCACCCAAAATGGCTTTAATTTACAAAACGAAACGTAGCCAATTTTGTAATCAACTTTTTCCAAGAATTTGACATGCAAACGTTTCAAGGTATCAGTAAGAACTCTTTTTTGTTTTTTCATTTTATACCTCATTATACAATCTTTTTTACCTGGACACACCTTTGACACTTCATCATCTTCAAAAAAATCATGAATATCCTGTTTGACTAACGCATTTATTTTACTCACTTTTGATCGTAACTGCTTGTTATTTGTCAGCATACGTGAACTATTGAAAATACTTTAGTTGAAATCGTGCCACGCAAATTACACATTAACTTATACTTTTTTTAAAAAAATTCATTTCCAACCAAAAGTTTTCCAAACTCTCTTTTTTTTCAACGTGAAGAGAGCTTTTTAAAACGTTGTGTCAACTGACATTTTATTGCTTCACCAAACAACAACTTTCGTTTGATTTCTTATTTCCATGTTTCATTAGTTCTGAAACTACTTTTCTGGGGGACTTCATATTACTCGTTCCATTACTCATCCTCCAGCATTTTTGGCGCCATTTATTTGCTTGCTGTTTCAAAGCTGTTATCGTTTTCAATAGTTTTTTATTTTCTCTAACTACCTTTGCTCTGTTTCGCTGGATTTTTTTTCCTACCGGATTGTTGACGTGACTGCACTAACTGTGTTGAACTCTGTTAAATGCTGTCAGGAGGGGGTTGTTTTATCATTTCGACCCGCTGTTTAATTTTGTTGTAAGCTTTTTTTGCCTAAGCTCTCCATATCTTTCGCTTTGCCCTCAGTCCTCTCTAGTAGTCTATAAAACGCCGATTCTGGGGATCAAAGGAAGCCGCCACCGATTAAAAATGTGCAAGATCAGCATTTTTCTGGGGATCAAAGGAAGCTGCGGTTAAAAATTTGCAAGATCAGCATTTTTCTGGAAGCAGCGGGCAATTAAAAACCCATTAAAATTCCGATGATATCAATGGAATGTGCAAATTTGTTTGCAACAAATGACGTCACGTGAGTGTATTATATTGTCAGCTGACGTCATTTTTGTTGCAACAAACGCATAACTGACGTAATATTGACATAGGTCATGCATTGCATGCAATTTTTTTTTTTATTAAATTTTAATTGCAATAAATAGTAGAAGGGAAACATACATTGTGGAACAAAAGGACGATTGATGATCGATAATTCCATTGTTAGGTCCTAATTGAATCATCTCTTTGTGTAAGTCATTTGCCATATTGTGTAAACGAATCATCTCTTTGTGTTTCGGGACTAGTGCAACAAAAAAAAAATGCGATCACCACCGTTAACCTACCTCAACCTTTGCCGCCCTATAGATGATTGCCATCCGTACCGACCTAACCGTGGACGTTATATATATATATAGGTAGCATATAAATATAATGTTAACCAAACGCAAAAACAATATTTATTTTCAGGTCTATATTGAATGGGCATAAACGAACATTTTCTTAATAAACAATTTTAATGGTGTATAAATCCTGGTTACTTAGCCGATGTTACAAAAATATGTATTAGGACCACACACATCAGCACACGCATGGCAGGAGGTTTTTTTTTGCGGGGGGCAAAACAAACATTCCCCCCGTAACCTTACCGAGCCTACATACCTAAAAATTATGGAGTCACGACGAATAATATTCGGTGTTATGCATTTCAGTGAACGGTCAGACATTTTACTTGCTAAAATATTAACAAAAAAAATATCGCAATGGCAAATTCTAAATTACCATCAACTTGCATACGGAGTGACATGTTAAGTTCGCGATTTAATTTTGATCATGTGTCTAAATACCCGTTAAAATACGGGGTAAATCAGATTCGAAAATATTCTAGTGCTTTTAAGGAGTGGAATGTTGCATATAGTTGTAAACGTTTCAATAATTGTGATTACGTTTGCAACTCATATGTTTGTTGGAGCAATTTTGAAGGTGTAGAGAGGCAGCCCGAGTTTGGGATAAGAACTTTTGCAATCAAAGACATCAATGCATTTTTCGCATTTATGCGTTTAATGCATTGTAAAAAATGCAGACAACCACTGCACCGATGGTACACGATTGACACATCAATTGCGAGAAATTGGAGTTTACTCACGCATGACAAGTTTGTAAACTATGTTGATTTAGACATTGAATATATTAACTTGTAATTTTTTTTACTAATATTAGAATTAAGATTAGGATTGTAAAATAAATAGTTCTACTTAAAATAAACTTATTTTTTAGTTTAAAAAAAACCAATGCCTCATTTTATTATTTAATATAACGATATTTTTTTTGGAAGGAGTTTGCAGTGATCACCATGATCAATTATTATACTGTGTACAACCGTCAGATGTAATTTTGCTAACCTACCGTCAACAGTGTCTTGTCAACAGTAGTTTTTGCTCAGCAGTTTACATTAATTTTCACTGTTTAATTTTATATATATCGATTTTGTGTTTTTTTTTTAACAAAGTATCGTATTGTAATCTTAATATTATTGTATTACTGCATATAACATATTAACGCATTTAATCTAGTAGCTTAAATAGCATATTAACACATACTAATGCACTTAACACATTTTTTAAGCTTTTTAGCCTATTAACATAATATTACATATTTTTAGCATATTATTATTATTTTAGTAAACTTATTAAATTCTTAAACATGTATAATTGTAGTTTGTGTGAGAAATCATTCTCTACAAGCTCTAATCTTAATAGACATTTAAAAGTCCACCAAGGTATTAGGTTTACATGCGGAGAATGTGATTATGACTTTAAGTATCAAGGGAATCTATCCAGACACTGCATTGCCAAACACGGTAAGAAAACATTTTTTTTTTTGTTTGTACTTAAAACAAAAATGTGATTTAATTTAATAAAATATAACATTTATTCAGATGGTGCGGGGCGAAACGGGCGTCCGGGAAATCCTCTTCAACAAAGGGCATCGGTTATTCAGAACACATCACACATGCCTTCAACATCTGGTTTAGGTTAGTAAATGAATTATTTTTTACAAGTATATAGTGATTTTTTTTATAAGAGAAACTTGAAACACATCACCAATATTAAATTAAAATATATTTACTTTAACACCATGAAAAGAAAAAAAAATTAGCTTATAAACAAATATATTCACAATATATCATTGAATAGACCTTTAAATTTAATTTAAAAAAAATTATATAGCCATTCATATATTTTATGGTTATAAGCTATTTTTTCCTTTTAATGATTCAATCCGTTCAACAATCTTTAACATTTAATTTATACTGAAAAAATATTTTTTCCAATACAGGTCGACAGGCAGAACAACAGTTTTGGGGAAGCGCAGACGACGAAACATTTGTCCAAGCCGAAAATAATATGGCGTCAACTTCAAGAGTTGCTACAGGTTAGTGAAAAATATGTATACCGCATTAATTTTTTATACGTTAGGTTAGGGTAGGTTACCGTAGTAGGTTTTTTTTATATGTAACATTCACTATAAATTATTTAGTAAAAAATATATATAGTTATGACTTTAATATATTGTTTAGAGTAAATATTATACATTTCACCCTACCGTCCTGGCAAATTTTTTTTCAATTTATTAACACTTAGACACATTTTCACGGTTTATATTAAGTAAGGCCATTATTATATTATTAGGTGTAGATAAAAGATCGTTCGAAGAACTGTGTGACAGCGAAGGCGATGAGGCATGCTTGCAGGCTCTTGATAGTATAACGGTCAACAGAGAAAACAACGCAAATAATAAACGGTTGAAAAGTCACCGTTTAGCTGCAGTAACGAGAGAAGGATTCGTTTTGACCACCACAGGGTTTAGAGGTTTATGTAAAGCCTATTATAAGAAAAATTTTAATCAATTAGCGGACTATGAATCTTTCTTGGCTGAAACCAAACCTCAACTAATCGAACTTCTTACAACACTCGTTGCTGAAAATGCAATCAAATATACGTTGAAACTTGAGTCGACGTACAAAATCCCATCCACCGAGGTTCTTGAAAACCGGGCTTTCAAGACGTGTGCGAGGACATTGCTACCTGAGACCATCATTGAAGACCAAATAACTGATGACAGTAGAGGGAATTGGTTCTTTCTGATGAGGGGTAAAATCCTCACTTTCACTTCCCCTCTACCCCCCCAGCCTATATCTAGTCCTCCATAGTCCTTACTTTCACTTCCCCTGTACCCCTCCGGCCTATACCTAGTCCTCCATAGTCCTCGTTTTCACTCTCCCTGTACCCCTCCGGTCTATACCTAGTCTTCACTTTTACTTTTTCCCCCTCCCCGCAGATTATATTCCCCCCCCCCCTCGAAAAGTAAAAGTATTTCAAACTCAACGTTAAGTGAATGTTTTTTCACTCCTCATGTACCCCTCCGGTCTTCTTACATAATGGTTTTATTTTTAATCCGATCCCCATTGCGGTCTATATTTGTTACCGTTAACTCGACTTAATTAACATTGTCGTGCGTAAACTCGGGTACAGTCATGCCATGCATGTGTGGAGGGATAGGTATATAATAATAATATAATCGGTGCCTACCACTCGATGTTATTCGGGTAACGACCCTATCTGCGCTGTGTGTTGATATAAAAAAACAAATCTCTCTCACAACCAGTTGTCACCGTAACATTACCTTACACTATCTTATACTACCGATCGACACCCTACAGCGTGATGAACCTTGTTTACACTACATGAAAACATCAAGAATATTAATCAGTTAAATGGAAACCACTACAGTATATATTAGGTATATACTATATTATTTAATAAAATTCTCTCTAACCCACGATCTACATGTGTAGGATATCGAGTCCTTTTAGTAACTGTACTGTATAATGTAGTCGTTTAACGGTAAAAAAGAGTAATTATTTTCACCCTACTATCATGATATCACAAGGATACCCATTTTTTTTTTTTTTTTATGGATTTCAACCTTAGAAACGACTGCTACAAAACGGTATGTCCACTCAGTATTATCATTATCATCGTTGCAGTCGTCATCACCATAGAATATTCAACAAAATCAACGACAATAATCCTTTTTAAGTAAGTGTTACAGTTTCTATTATTTTTTTTCTACTCTACAAGTTAATTGCATAGTGAACGAATGTATATATATGATAGAGAGAGAGAGAAAATAAGGTTTCTCTTATAATTTTATAAATTTATAAGCTGTTATAATCTAAATATTACTTTTTATTAGTTTATGTTTAGACGAATAATACAATTTAAACAAAATTATTTTTTTTCTTTTTACTTTAGTATAATAATGGAAAACCAAATCATGGAACAATTTAACGCTGATATGGTTTATTTTCTTCATCTAATACAAAATGCGTCTGATGAAAAAACTGAACGTGAGTTCAATGATTGGTGTAAATATGTACGTTTTCAACCTTTAAGACATCCACGAGCAGCCGTAGAAATTGCTAAAGATCATTCACTTTATAAAAATGGATACATACTTTTTCATTTTGATATAAAAATCCATGATCGCCAGTATTGTGCTCGACGAAATGAACAAAAATATTACACATGTCTACCGAGCTTGCTGGATACTATAAATATTCATGGTGATTACCGGATCGAAAAATATTTAGGGTATATCATATTATTATTATTTAAAACAAAAACCTATATCAATAACAATTATTTTTACAGGTATGATTCTTTTATACAAGTCGTTCGGCAAAATGTATGTGTTAAATGCGGTGAACGAACTACATTTTGGAGAGATGTCGACCTCAAAACGTTTAAAAATCTCGATCCGATTACGGATGAAAAAGAAATACAGTCAGTTGTATATGATTTTATGGCTTTTTTCTGACTGAAGGTGTTAGAAAATCTCTTACAATATAATATGTAAAAACTTAAACTATAAAGAATAAAAATGCATTTCAATTGTTTAAATAAAAAAAATATAGATTTATTATTTTCAAATTGAGTACAGTTATTTTTTTATTAATTTAAAAACATACTATAGTAGTCTCTTAACACTATATTATTATTTATTTATATTCTAAGTATACTAAAACAAAAAAAAAAACAAAAAACAGATTAATGATGTACGTTTTACAGGTTTAAAAATATTTGTGTATACTTATTTAATTTATCGTTCACCATTATAATATTATAATTATATTAATAGTAAGTTATAAATAGACGACTGTAAATCTCGGAATCATAATAATTTTAGTTTTTTTTTATGCAAGAACTTATTTTAAAAAAAAACAAAATAAAATGAATAAGATATAATTATCATTTATTAAGTAAGAAATACATTTTAGGACTCGAAGTCTATGATAAAAGATTTATTTTGTCTACGACCTCTATATACTAAAAATGCTGACTCGTTGTTTTTCCCGAAATCATCACATTCTTGTTCAGAAAGTTGGATTGACTGTGGAAGAAAAACTCCAAGCAACTCATCATCTTTTGATAGAATCATTCGTACGGTTGGCCCATAAGTGGTTTTTAATAATCGCACCTTCTCTATTTGATATCTCGCATTGATAACCAGTTCAGCTATGCTGACCGATTTTGCGCTGGACTTCTCAGCCTCGGCGGCTTTCATCTTCAACAAACGGGCAAAGCTGGTCATACTAAAAAACAAAAAAATTATAAATATTTTTTTATTTCATTAAAAAACATCTATATTAAACAGTAAAAAGATTATTACCTTATGTTTTTTTTGAACGAAGTAAAAAGCTGAGGTCGTCTATTCATTCAGAGCTTGTAAAACGTATTAAACAGTTTAAATGGTAAGTAGTTTGATATTCTAAAAGAAAAGATAAAATCCCTCCCTCTCATTTTTAAGTAACTGCACTGAGCGGTCAAGGCTAAAGTAAGAAATTAATGCGTTATATAAAATATATCTTATAGTTGAGGCTTGAAGATAGAGGAGAAAATCATAATAAAAAAAATATCAATGATACTTATCCATAATACGTAATTATTATGCTTCTTCGTATCCTACACCACACGTGTGTTATAATGTGAACAACTTTTACCAAAATCTTTAGGTTTGTAAGAGGTCAAGGCTAAATTCTATGTTTGGTCTATACAGGTATAGTATCCAAATCGGTTAACAGACTTTCTCGATAAAAATGTTGTTTTCCTATAATTTATTTGGAAGCAGGGGTATTTCAAACATGACCAAAGGAGCTAAGAAGAAATTCTTTAGCTCGTGTTATTTAGTGTATAGTAAAGTGTTGTAAGTAACAAAACGTGTAGTTTGTAGTGTGTTATTCAGTAGTGTTAAAATTTCAGTATTTTAAAATGACCGGTTTGATTAATAAAAATAATATAACTTATAAAAAACGGAAATATACTGCATTACGACCGCCACAAGAATTAGTCGATTGCACAGTGTTCCATATTGATTATAGAAGTAAAAAGTCTATTCAAATCGGTTTGGATCCGAATGAAACATTTAATGTTAAAATTCATATTTTAACTTCTACAAGTTATGTAACAATTGGTATCATATTATTTAACAGATTTATATCTATAATGAGTACAATTTTGTTCAATTTGTCGAATGAGAAGGATCCTATGGAAAACCATAGCAAAAATACTCCACTTTTAAAAGATCAATTCTTCATTATCTCAAAATTGGTTTCACGTGGACAACAATTATTAGTCATACAATCAAAAAATGAAATAAAGTGTAAAATTATACTTTGTCGGGAAGAATTATTGAAAATTCAAGACCTTCAGCACGTTGTAAAGGCAGCACATTATCATAAATCTAATTTAACTCGTCTCCTCGTGTTAGAACAGTTGGAAATATTTGTAAAGTATTTAGACACACAGTGGAGGGAAAAAATGAGTTTTCACAGCGATGAAATGATATCATACATACAAACAACTGATCAAAATACGATTTCTAACCTAATCCCGAAAAATAAGCCAGATTATATCCATCAGCTTATTTTATTCGCTGCAAGATCTGTCGCTAACTCCTGGCTGGGGCTTAAATATTCCGAAATCGAGGTTAATATCATTTTTATATTATCATAATATTTTAACCAAATAGTTGTTGTATTAATACCAAGTATTATTATTATTGACAGGTTCACAAACGGAAAGATAAAATTAATTCATCACTAGAAACCGTGTCAGGTGTAGATTGCAATTGTGAATTATGTATTTTTACTAATATTAATAACGTATGTGATGACATTGTAGATAACGGAAAGTATTATGTATTTAAATAATTAAAATATTTATTAATAAGATATTTAAAAAAAATATATATATATCTAGTTATTATATTAAAAGACAAAACTCATATTATGTAAACTATATACTACTATAATTGTATACAAAAATAAAACAAAATATTGTTGTTTTACTCAGAGACAAAATAATTTATTCCTTAAGAAATTATTCAAACAACTATTTTCCCCCTCTCATCTTGTTATAATTATATAAAAGGACCAACTTTCTAAAAAAAAAAAAAGAAATCTAGTGCCCCGTGTACGTCAATTTTCTATATGGTTTAGCCAGTCGTGTGCTAGTCAGTGTTGCGGTTATACGCTCTTATGTATCTCATCCGTTTTTAATAGTTTTTTTTTGAAAAAAATTATACTATTTTGTTATTTTTATTAATATTAACTGTAATATTTAAAATTCATCATGTTTTCGTGTACACAATGTGGTAAATCTTTTGCAAACAAGTCTAATTTAAACAGACATGGTTTAAAACACGTTAACATAACATTTCCTTGCTACGCTTGTAATAGAATTTTCAGTCAGAAATCAAATTTGCTGCGTCATGTGAGAACTGTACATCGTAAGTAAAGCAATTAAATATATTACATTTATTTAAAACAGTAATTATTAAAAAAAAAATAGACTATAGAATCGAAAAACGTAAAAAAAACAATTTATATTATTATTTATTATAGACCTTGTTAAAAATGGAATTGATTTTACTGATGCTATTACCGGATTAGGACAAGTGTATAATAGTGAGAAGAAATAAAAAAATTGATGCGTTGGGCAAAACAGTTAGACATCCGTTTGTGATATATGCCGATTTCGAAGCACTTTTAATAAAACCAGATATTTCAGACAACAAAGGTGGAAATACTAATATTGTTGAGGAACATAAACTAATGTCATATGGATTTTTTGTAAAGGCTGCAGACAATATACCCATAGACATTTTAAAACAGTATAACATCCCTCTAACGCCCATATGGTTTCGTGGATCACAAACAATCAATTCTGAAGATGTAGCAAAACGCTTCGTGGAGGCAATTGTCGAAGTAGCTACAAACATAAGTGGTCTACTTCAGACGAATACACCAATAAAATTTACCGATACTGAAGCTCAGAGGCATGCAGTCGCTACATGCTGTGAAATTTGTCATTGTAGTTTTACACAGTCCAATGAAAAAGTAGCTGATCATGACATGAAAATTCAGACGAACACTTTGTAACTCATGCAATCTAAAGCTTCGTACCCCAAATTTTTTACCGGTTTTTTTTCATAACTTAAGCTCTTATGACGCACATTTTATCGTTACACAACTGGGGTATGATGATAAACCTATCAATATAATACCGACCAGCGAAGAAAAATATATAGCCTTCACAAAGTATATAAAAAATAATTTTTCGATTAGATTTCTCGATAGCTGTCGTTTTACACCAAGTTGCCTGTCTGCATTGACCACAGATCTTGCCAAAGCTGGTCTTTCTAATTTCCGAGAGACAGCCAAAGTGTTTTGCCCCGAAGACATGCCATTAGTGACCAAAAAAGGAGTTTTTCCCTATTCTTTCGTCGACGACTGGTCAAAACTTGAGGTCACCAGTTTGCCAGCACGTGAACAGTTCTTTAATTCACTCACAGGTGAACATATTAGCATAAAAGATTACGAACATGCATTACAAGTTTGGAATCATTTTAAATGTAAAACCTTGGGGGAGTACAGTGATATTTACATGAAAGTCGACATAATGGCTCTTACCGATGTATTTGAACAATTTCGTAATTTATGTATGGACACGTACAACTTGGATGCAGTATTCTACTTTACGAGCCCCGGATTAAGTTTCGACGCTATGTTAAAACATAGCATGGTGCATTTGGATCTTTTAAATGACTATGAAATGGTACTGCTAATAGAAAATGGAATCCGCGGTGGCCTCGTACAGGCCTGTACACGTTGGGCTAAAGCTAATAATCCTAAGACACCTGGTTACAATCCTGACAAGCCGAACACATGGTTAGTTTACCAAGACGCCACAAATTTATATGGTTATGCAATGAGCCGTTTTATGCCATCTGGAAGCTTTCAGTGGTACACCGGAAGCGGGGAGGAAGCACTGAAGGGTTTGGACTCTATGACGGAACAGTCTGAAACAGGTATGATTTTCGAAGTTGATATAGCTTATCCGTCAACTCTACATGATGAACATAACGAATATCCATTCCTTCCTGAGCTTAAATGTCCTCCAAATTCAAAAACGAAAAAACTGTTGGCCACACTTGAGGATAAAAAAAAATACGTAATTCATTATATGAATTTAAAACAAGCGATTGCGAATGGCTTAAAGGTTGAGAAGGTAAACATATATTTCAAAATATTGCTATAATAATAATAAATTAATAAAAAAATTTTGAATAACGTAGGTGCATAGAGTTTTACAATTTCATCAATCCCCTTGGCTCGCTTCTTATATAGATCTTAACACTCAAAAACGTAAATGTGCAACTAATGATTTTGAAAAAAACTTTTTCAAGTTGATGAACAACGCTGTATTTGGTAACAATATACCTTTTTTTTTTTTTTTTTTAAATTGATTAAATTAATTACTCAACCTTATATATTATAGGTAAAACGATGGAATCAATGCGGAAGCGTATTAAAATTGAACTCGTGTCCAGCCCTCGAAGACTCCAAAAATTAATTAATAAACCCACCTTTGAGCACTGTACTACATACAGCGAGAATCTTGCTGCTGTTTCCTTGGAGAACAAAATAATACATTTTTGTAAGCCGATATACGTAGGTTTTGCAGTGCTGAAGCTAAGTAAAGTTTTAATGTACGAATATCATTACAATGTTATGCGAAAACACTTTAAAGATGTTATTGAATTCGTTTATGGTGATACAGGTACTTATTAAAAAAATATATAAAAATTATAATAATAAATAGTTGTATTAAATTATAAATAAAATAACAAATTGTTTTTTCCACAGACTCACTTATATATTTGATCAAAACACAAGATTTTTACGAGGATGTCAGAAAAACACCAGAACTTCTAAGTCGGTTGGATACATCAAATTTACCGATTGATCATCCGTGTTACTCGGTAGAACGTAAAAAAGTTCCAGGGACATTCACCGATGAATTAGCAGGTCTTACGATGCATGAAATAATTGCATTGCGATCGAAGTTGTATGGGTTTAGCAAAGAAAACGTCTATAAGTCTCTGGAAACAGAATGGAGTATTGAAGAAAAAATAAAAGCTAAAGGTATACATTATACATTTTTAAATATAAAAAAAAAAAGTTTAATATTTAAATGGTATAAAATACATTATAAAATGTGTGAATCTTAATGGCCTAGTGGATTAAGGCGTCAGTTTTTCAAACCAGGTAGATAAGTATGATAGTGTTTAGTTCTAATAATATAACTTAAGCGATTTTTAATAATATATGATTTAATCCAAATAATTCCTATGCTGATTGCTTTGATTTACTACAGTTGTTAAGGTTCACAACATTTTTTTTGTTTTACTCATTAAAAATAAAAATGTATTACCTTTTACTTTATTTTTATTTTTAATAGGTATAAGAGCTTATGTAACTAAAAAACATATGGTTCTCGATGACTTAAAAAGATGTCTTTTCGATGACGACAGTGAGGATGATATGGACATTTATGGTTTCAATAAAGCAGAAGCAAAACTGACTGCTCATAATTGTGCTCTTAAGACCCTAGAATATGCCAACTATGACTTAAATACATCAAGTAGTACTTCATATCGCTACGATTACACTCCATATAGAGAGAATATATCTATAAGGTCGTTCAAACATAAAATTTGTACCGTTAAAACAATGAAATTAGCACTAAACCGAAATGATGACAAGAGGATTGTGCTTTGTGACAGGATTCATACTTTAGCAATTGGTCATTATAAAATCAAGTAATTGAAGTATAAAATATCGATAGTTCAAAATCTTATTCAAATTATTTTTATTTTAGTGAACTTCAAGAGGCAGGCAGATTATCAGAAAGCAACGACGCCGTTTTGTAAAAAAAATATTCCATTTATTTATTTATTTTGTTTGACATACATAAAATGATATTTTATTATATAAGTATAAATAAAATAATGTATATTACAGTGTAAACAGTTTTTTCCTACAGTATATATTTTTAATACTAGTCTTTAAAAAAATAAAAATTAAAAAAATATTATTTACACATTTTCCAAAAACCATTTTCTTAAAGTAAGAACTTTATAAAGTGTACATAGCTTGGGATTCAATTCTTTGTGGAAGAGACAGCAGGCAAATTCTTCATTAGGATAGAGTTCATCTATTGTTGGACAGCCCATTAATTCCATATTAATAATAGTTATGCCAGGTAAATATTCCAAAAGAAGATCTCTCTTTTGATCTCCTTTCACGTAAACTGTTCGAGCTTGTAATGAATTTAATATTCTTCCAATTTCCTCACATTCCACGTCACCATATGTGAGGCTCATTTTGTGGAAATGACGCTCTAACCATTTATTAACAGAACGAGACTTGGCACTTTGAAACAAGGACGGTGAGTATTTGAATATCCAATGTTGAACTGCCCAGCTCTCAGTATCGACTGCTGTTAATTCTTTTATTAGATATTTTCCATCAGATCTTAGGACACACTGCATATCTAATATTAAATGGTTCATTCTTGTATTATATATTATGACGTTGTACTATACAAGCAAGCAACACAGAACACGACTTTTCATGATTAAACATGGTATATTACTAATTCTTCTCATTCCTGAATCTTTTTTAAATCATCTACCTTGTCCTTAACGCTAATAGTTATTTCAGATTGCAGTTTATATTGTTCATATACTAAAATAGGCGAATCAAATGTTATATTTGATGTCATGAGTTCAATGTAAGATTCAATTCTTTTTATGGCAGCCCAAATATTATTAATTGTATCATTACATTTTGTTATATCCTCTCGATGAGTACGGAAAAGAATACCGTGTACGTTTAACTCGTTTTGAAGTATCTGCAATCCAACTTGAAGATTTGAGATTGACTTATTCTTTATGCCTTCCAATGAACCTCCAAACACGTCCATGGTCCTCGAGATACTAACTAGTATTATCATCATAGTTTAAGATCGCTTTTATCTATCCATGAGTTATGTGTTGAATCAAATCCTAACCATTTTACTAGAACTTTTGATCCTTTTTTTTGTAAGACCTTTTCCACCAGATAGTCATCAGGATATAGAGTTTTGCTTAATTCTTCATTGTAGAAACTACCTGCTATGGGTTTACCGGTATAGTCTTCTATGTAGTAAGTAGGAGGAGATGTAGAATTAGCTTTTACTACTTTGAAAATTTCACTACTCTAGCTAGGAAGATAACCCTTAGTAAAGATGGTTTTGTACATAGAAATTCTTACTCTATCGCCAACTTTAAAGCGAAATTTCTGCTCAGGTATTTTACGACCATGTATTACAACCGAAGACGGGTTAGCCTCAGCCTGATTCGGTGTCATTCTAATAGTGCTATGTTTTGTATTATTATACGTATCTACGAGGCTATCCAAGATAGAAAGCCATTCATATGAACCTTGAGCTGTAAATTGTTTGTACATTTTTGATTTAATTGTGCGATTAAATCTCTCAATTATACTAGCTTTGAGAGCGGAATATGTTGAGTATAAGTTAACATTGTATTTTTTCATCAAAGCCATGAAATGCTTATTATAGAACTCTTTCCCGGAATCAGTCATAAGGTGAGTTGTTGGGTGGGAGATGAGTACTTTCTCCATGGCTGCAGTGACTTCGACTCCAGTTTTTGTCTTCAGAGGAAAACACCAAGCTTTTTTCGTGAAACAGTCAATGACGGTAAGAATATATTTGAATTTCCGATTTTTCACTGAATGACTGGTCATTTCAACAATATCGGCTTGCAAAAGATCACCTTTCCCCTTCAAAATAACTCTCCGCCTAGTGAAATTTTTACGAGCTGGTCGATGCAGTTCTGAAGCAATACTTTCTTTAGTAGTTATCGGTATCATCGTGTGGAATCGTTTTTATAATACCCTGCTCATAAAGTTCTTCATAAATAGAAACTATTTCATTATTGACCCCTGAGTTGCCTGCAGTTCTCGCTGAATGTAATAAACGTAATCTGGTAATTAATTCTTCAGGCTGATTCCAATATACGTAATTTGTTTTCTTATTATTCAGCGACATGGAAAGACCACTGCCTGAGGGGAATATCTTTGAAATGATCTTATTATACTTGGAACCGGTTCTTTTAAGCCGACTACCATCTACAGTTAAGTGAGCTGATGATTGTTCTAGCATTTTTTTATAATTTCTCGTATCGATTTTTGTATTTTTATTTGGGTTTTTAGAAAACAATAATTGTAGTATTCCCACGGTCATGGGATATGGTCTACCATCAAGTGAAATTTGTAATGAATTTCTATCGAATTCCATTTCAGAATGACCGAAATTTATTTTACCTTTATTATCAACCGGTTTGGGTCCATATATTTTATCTCTTTGTGGTGAAATTAACCAGTTATCTAATATCATACCAATGCTCACAGTATGATCCGTTTTTTTCGACGTTATGGCGGTTGATACTTCTTTCGATGCTTGTTGTGACTGAAATACAGGGTCATCAAACACCTGATCACGATTTTCAAAACTTTGGTAATCATCACCACCATTGTTCGTGTTTTTATTTGCTATTTTCGTCAGTGGATCAATAATTGGTTTAAAACTCTGTGTAACTAACGATTCTGTATCTGCTTCACCTTGTTTCAGAGCTCTATACTTTCTCTTAATACTTTCCCTGGCTTGAGTTAACGCAGATAACAAATTTTTGTTTTTCTCCGTCATGATTACTGTAGTGTAAATGATAAATATAAATCGTAAACATGGTCTTTTATATTAAAGCAAATGTATCAAATTTGCTTCGATATCTCCCTTGATCCCTAATAAAATCCTTACATATCACTGCAAATCCATATTTATCTCGATTCCAACATGCTCTACAAAAATCTTTAAACTCGGAAAAAGTCATATCTGAACTACAGTGGTCGTCGTAAGCATGTTTTAAATTTAATTCATCCTGCTTGAAAAGTACAATTAGATTTGAATTATCACGAATTAAAAGCTTTGGAATTTTCGAATAACTTTGACCTAAATAGAAAACATCTATTTTATTATGTCTCCCACGTGAGAAGTATTCACGGATAATATGTTGGTTTTGAGAAATTACGTCATCAAAAATAAAAATACTATTTTCCTTTGCTTTCTCCGGGTCCATTATTGTTTCATTTTCATAAAACGTATACAAGTTTACACCGTCGACTTGACGAATAATTTGCTCGAGTAATTTATATTTTTCCTGACCCAAAGTCTTGGAATAAATGTATACGTTTTCGAATTTTAATCCATTGTCTGCAGTCAACAGTGTAAATATCAGTTGGGTTTTACCACAGGATGAGGGCCCAGCTATGAGGGCACGAATCGTGTTGGATAGAAGAGGACCATGTTTTGAAACTACACTATTGGCATCTATTGTGTCTGTATTGACAATAGGAAGTTTATGATCTTGTTCAACGAATCGCATGGTATAAATAAGACTGTCAAATGATAGAAAAGAACATATGATGTCTTCGTCTCGAAAGCTTAAGAACAACAAAGGTTCCGGTCTTTTAAACTCTATTATAAATAGATTACCGGTAGAGTTGCATTACCCTGGTTATCAGTTTTGCGGACCTGGGACTAGTCTCCGTCAAAGACTGGCTGCTGGTCAACGAGGTATCAATCGATTGGACAACGCTTGTAGAGAACACGATATTGCTTACGATAAAAGTAACGAGTTCAGTGACCGTCACGAAGCCGACAGAATATTACAGGAAAAGGCGTGGACGATTTTCAAGTCGAAAGATACGGGGCTGAAGGAAAAGTTGGCTGCTTGGACAACGGTGACAGCCATGCGGGGAAAAAGAAAAATTGGAATGGGTTGCGGACTCGGTGGAGTAGTAAGTGGAGCCAAAAAGTCAATTCAAAATATGAACACTGGCTGTGGTGGAAAGAAAAACCTGATGAAATTGGTAAAAACAGCTTTGGCAGCAGCAAAAAAGGTGGTGTCAAAGAAAAAATCTAAAAGTAAAATGAGGTCGTTAAAGAACAAAACGCCCAGAATATTACCGATACCTAAACAATCTGGAGGTATCATACCACTTGTCCCTCTGTTTGCCGGACTTTCAGCTTTAGGAGCTTTGGCTGGAGGGACTGCTAATGTGGTCAAGACTATTAATGACTTTAAAACGAGTAAAAACTCACCTGTTCATATAGGTAAGGGTCTTTATTTACATCCGTATAAAGGTGGGCGGTACAAAATAGAAAAAGGACTCTACCCAAAATTACAAAAAAATATCACTCAAAGAAAATTAAAAAATAAGAAAACTCGATGTAATAAGTCAAAAAACTAGTAACAGAACTGCCCAGTAGTCGACCATTGTATGATTTTGAACTAATAAAATATGCAAAATTGTTGAAAATACCTCACTTTCGCGGTGTGTTCAGTAAGGATCGCATGCCTGTTCGTTGTAAACTTAAAGAATCTGCCATAGTCAACCTTGCTCCATCGCACTCTAATGGTACTCACTGGGTTAGTTATAAGAAAAACGGATCACAAGTAAAATATTTTGACAGTTTTGGAAATCTACCACCACCTAATGAGCTAAAAAAATATTTCGAAGGATATAATGTAAAATACAATTACGATAAATATCAAAATTTTAATACTTCAATTTAAGGACAGCTTTGTTTAAAGTTTTTATGGAAAGCGTGATGACTACTGTGGCAAAGCCTAGTACAATAACTTTAAACGGTAACTCATCAGTGTTGGAATGTGATTTTTTCCCGGCTTTAGAGCTAG